ATGTGAACTGAGAAATAGAGGACATGAAGGCTAGAGAGCAATCAAATGTAACTGAGCCCAGCTGGGTGTTGCTTAGCAGTTGAGCATCAATATTGGACCCAGGAGATGGCTGTTCGATTCCCGGTCAGGGCACATGCCCGGGTTGCGGGCTCGATCCCCAGTCGGGGGCGTGCAGGAGGCAGCCGATCAATGACTCTCTCATCATTGAAGTTTCTCTCTCCCTCTCTCCCCCTCCCTTCCTCTCTCTGAAATCAATAAAGATATATTTTAAAAAACAAAACAAAAACAATGTAACTGAGTCTTTCTTGTTTGGGAGACTAGAATAATGGGAGATAAAAATATCTGGTTGGTTCTTTCAGGTCAGGTATCAAAAATATGTCAACCTGAAAAGATGAAAGGGAAGGCAAGTATTGTTTTTCTCTGATTCACTCCCTTATTTCTTCAAAAACTCTTTCTCACCTAGACCATTCCAGGATTTATGGTAATAAAGTGACCCAAAGCCATAGCATTCCTGTCCTCATGTAGTTTACATTCTAGTGGGGAGAAACACGCCTGCAGGTGACTAAGTATAATACGAGAGAATGAAATAAATCCTATAAGGAGACCCTCAAAGGAATGAGTGGTTAACCCTGAGTTGGACACTGCACGGTGGCTTCCTGTGGAGATGACCTTTAAGAATGTATATAAGGCAGGCAGTCAGGCTAAGAAAGGTCTCAGGCTAAGAAAGAATGAGTGGCCTCCTAGGCTGAAGGAAAACCATGAGCAAAGGCAAAGGAGTATGAATGGTAAACAGTCTTACAGAGCTGGGGCATATTTTAGGAAGTGGTATTAAAGGCAAGACGGGGTTAGACCATGGAGGGTGCCAACTCAGCTCAGAAGCCACCTCATTCTGAAAACAATGGAGTGTTAGGAAAACAACTTCTAGCTAACTTTGTTGGGGTGAAGAATGTATTAAATAAATTAGGGATTGAAAACAGGGAGCCCAGTTAGAAAGATATTGTAACAGATGAAAAATGAGTATTTAAAAGGATACAAGTGATACATGGTATTTGTGACAGTAGAACTGATAGTACTTGATGACAAATTAGATAAAGTATGTAACTGTTCCAGTGTTCTAGCAGGATCAGCTCCTCAGAGTGGTGGAAAACCTTCTGAGGCAAAAGAATATGTCTGGTGATTTAGAATTTATTCCCAAATCTGCGACCTATTAGCTATGTGGCGATTAAAAAAAATTTTTTTTTTACTACAGTTTCCTCAACTATCAAATTACAGTTAAGGAACTGTTCTGGAGTGTAACTTTTAATGTTAGAATCTTGTGGTTCAATTCAACTGAACCTCCCCACTACTTCTTACAGATTTAAACTCAGTAGAATATATTATGAAGATGCTTTTAGATTCTAAAAGACTGCTTTATTTATATAAAGTTAAACCTTACTATTTAGTAGATTTGTAAAATCAAGGAAGAACTTCAGAGGTGTTTTCCTTACTTTTAGTTAGGAATGAAATTTGCCTGTTGGGTATTGAGAGAGAAATATTAGGGACAGCTTCCTTGTCTTCCTTCTACAAGTTATTCAAGTTAATAACAACACTTTTTATCAGAAAATTTGTGTAACTTTAAAAAAAGTTATCTGTTCCAATGTCTGTTGGTTCTGCTTTGATTAGAAAAGGAAGATGGAATCTGATGTTAAACAATTCCATATTCATTCATTCATCAAAACATTTATTGAGAGCCTATTAATTTTAAGGCACACTTATAGACAACGTGGTAGCCTCAGAAATAATCTGTGCTTTCAGAGTCCGCAATCTAATCTGGAAGAGACAACACATTAATTAACAACACTCTACAGCATCTATGGAAAGGTTAGCTGATTTGTTTTATGAGTTCACTGGAGGAAGATATCATTCATTCAAGTTGGGGTGGTTAGAGAAGGCCAGCTGGATCCTCAACAGGAGGATTTGGGTGAAAAGAAAGATACAGTCAATTAATCAGTAATTTCAACCAGAAAAGATGTCTTATTCCACATGTATTTAGGATCTAAAAAGACAGTAGAGTGAAAGAAGCAGTAAGCTTATGGTTGGGAAGAGAGAGGTGTTCATTCTCTAACAGGGCTGAGCTATGAACTGAGGATCAGCAGTAAATTCCTAATTACCGAGTTCAATGTATCTGCTCAGCATTCGTTTGCAATTGTAGCTGTTTGAACCTTTGATTGAATTGACCATTCTCTCCTTTTTGAAACCTTCTGTCTTTGTGTTCTGAATGTTTAATATATTTGTCTCTCTTACAATCTTTCTTCTTTCAATGAATTTGGCTCTTCTTTCTACCCACCAGGAGCCCTGGCCTCAGCTTTATACTTGTTTCAATAAACACACTCTCAATTGTGAGTCTCATAGTCCCAAAATATTAAATTCTACCTGAATATATTTGCATGGCTCTCAAATATCTATAGCAAACCTTGACTTCCTGGGTTTCAATTCCTCATTTTCAGTGGACAGTCTCGTGTTCTCTTATATATTTGTCTAACTTCTATATGAAAACATTTGTGTCTGAAGACCAGCTCAAGGTCTTCTCCCCAAAACTGGACCTTTCTTCCACTTATCTAGAAATAGCAAGTATCGCCATGGTCTAAACACACAAATGCGTAATCTTGAAACTATTCTGACGCCATCACCGAGAGAATCAATCGGTTGTTAAGAAGCCATGCTGCTAATTTCACCGTTGCCACCACCCTGGGACAAGCTTTTATCACTCCACACCTGAATAACTACAATGATTTCTAGTCGGTCTTTCAAAGTCTGGTTTTTTTCCCCCCCAAAAAAATCAGGGTAGTGTAACGTGACCCAAACTTTTGTTTGTTGCTCTGCACTCTGCATCAGCTGGCTTCAGCTTCAGTGTGCACTTCATCTCCCTTGAACTGCCTCCTAGGACCCGGCCAAATCCTTTTGCTAGTCTCTGAATAAATATCACAGTTTCCTCCGATGGCCAACATACTCCTCCCCTTGCTAGAAAGCCCTTCCTTACTCCTCTACGACTGTGGAAAACGTACTTAGTCCGGGTTTCACGACCATCATGAGACCTTTTCTAACCCTAATGCAACAGGGTCTCTCCCACTTCTGTAACTTGACGTGACTATGGGCCCTGCCACTTGTTGCATAATTATCCCATATTTTCACTTATTGTTCATTATAATTTCTTGAGAGTTAGTCTCATCTTCCAAATGAAATAATAACCATGTCTCGGACTGCCTGACCCATCTCCTACCACACATACACGCGACAGTGACCTCAGAGAAGACCCTCTTGTTTGTTTATTGGCTAAGTTCACACACACGGTAAGGAGTAGTAAGCAGTGTGGGAAACGGATCTAGAGGCCAGGTGAAAGAACATTCAAAACTGATTTTTAAATCTTCAGAATAGGAACAATTTTTCTTCCCTTTAAACTTTGAATGTGTAAAACAACTAGTAAATTGTCCCTTTGGGGAAACATTTATTTTTGTGACACTTTCAATAAAGTGAGAAAGTTAATAAAATTAGCATTTATTTAGGCTTGAATTGAAATTTAATATTTTTAAAAGGAACACGAAGCCATTTTTTATCTGAGTTGGGACATTCTATAGAAAGTATCTAATTTGTGTTATTTATAATTACGTTTTTATATAAAGTTATTTCATCATGTTTCTGTTTTACACGGTGAGGGTACTCCTGCAACAGAGACTATTAAAACTAGAAACATTCTTAAGAAACAACTAGTTCCATCTATTTATTTTTCAGGTGTAGAAAGTGAATTCCAAAGAGGGTAATTGACTTGCCCAAGGTCATAATCTAGTTATTGCCAGAGCCGTATCTAAAAAGTAGGATTGTTGGTTCCTAATTTTATACGTTTTCCAAAATCCTATATCATGCAGTTTTATTTTTGTACCTAGATTTCATTGTTTTTTCTTATTTTACACCCAAGAACGTGAATTAGTGCCCTGTACGTTATTAATAAGAGCATTCTAAATAGAAGCACAGCATGAGCAGTTTATTATGATGTATATCAACACGAGAGAGAGGAATATCATCTTCACTATTCACATTTCTAAAACTTCCTAAAACAGTAACTTTTCTCGATTGGCGATCTGAGTTGAGGCAGTTGATGTTTTTTGGATTTGCTTTGGGAGGCAACCTTAACCTGGGCACCGTGCTAACATTTGTAATGGCAGTTGAAGGATTGTTTGAAACACCAAAAATAATTAGCGCTTTTCAGGAGAAGAGAGGTGAACACAGCGAGTCCACGCAAATCTGCGCTGGTGACCTGAGGCCGTGCGGGAAGGCGCCGTGTGGGGGACACGGGGCCTTTCACAGTTGTCCTGAAGCCCCTTCTAGAGCAGCGACATCGCAGGACAAAACACCACTTACTACCTTCCCACTGGCTTTTTGTTGTTGTTGGCTTCACTAAAAAGAGGTAAACGTATCAGGTTTTCTTTATAAAATTTGTGCTTAGAAAATATTACTTAGAAGGGTTGGAGGACACTGAGCATTAAAGGAAGAGAAATGACAAAAGGGGACTCAGAGTGTCAGTTTTGGTGAGGAATGGGCATGGAAATTTGGCTTCTCTTTCTGAGAAAAATATTTTACCAACAAAATTACACCGTATCACTTGAATTCCAAAAGACTAATAGCAAGCGGTGGCTGGACGGGGCACGTTGCATCCTGATTTTAAAATGATTTGTGCAAGCTTTTAAAATAAAAGGTACCTATAGAAATTTGCCAAACTCGTGCTTTGAGAGGATTTACTCACCGAGTTCATTATTCTCAGCGTTCACAGGCAAAATGAGGGGTTTAAGATACACCGGCTGAACCAAATACCAAGACACAGAGAATTCGGATTTGCAGCGAAACGAGAGACTCGTGAGGCCTGACTTAACTGTGAAGCGGCGGAGGCGCAAAAGGAAGGGTCCCTGCTTCTGTCCCCGCTCGCCAGCCCCCCGGGACACGGGACAGAGGTGCTCCACTCGGCTTAC